GTATACAGCATTTAGGGATGCACCGATACCCGATTTTCGGTATCGAGTACGAGTACCGGTATTCTTTTTCCGGCACTTACCGATACCGAATACCGATACCGGAAGTCCCATTAAGGAAGCCAGACGGTGTGTAATAACTCACCACCCGGCTTCCCGATTAGCATGGAAGCCATCTCCATGCTCCCTCGTCACTAAGTCTTGCCAATCAGGAAGCCAGGCGCTGTGTAATGACTCAGTGGCCGGCTTCCTGATTGGCTGGGAAGCTGGCTCCTGGCAAATCAGAAAGCCGGCTTCCTGATTGGCCGGCTTCCCGACCAATCAGGAAGCTAGGCGGCTCGTCATTACACTCTGCCCGGCTTCCTGATTGGTCATGAGGGAGCATGGAGCCGGCTCCCTAGCCAATCAGGAAGCCGGGCAGCATGTAGTGACTTGCTGCCCGGCTTCCTGATACCGTAAGCTCAGGTATCGGGCTAGTCATCGGAACATTTGGGCGAGTATGAGTACGCGCCCAAATACTCGGCATCGGAATCGATACCGATACTAGTATCGGTATCGGTGCATCCCTAGTATTTATCTAGTGCATGGGGGCAGGCTCAAGTGTTACTGAGAGCAGTAATCCATGCAGGAGACAGGGACACCCAGCAACAGTCCAAGCAGGTTCCTCCTGCACGTTTAATTAGCAAAGCAGCAAGCACAGTTTTCATGCAGGAGAGCTTTGTACAGCAAGTCTATAACATAAAATGGACAAACATCTGCTTGTCTCAGCCACTAACTAAACTCATGTCAGTCCGTCACTGACAGGGTGACCCCTAATGTGTTCTCTGCAGAGGCAGTTCTTGTACCTTCTTAGTATGCTGTCAGTGGGACTTTACAACACAAAACATATACAGTATATATAGTTTTTGGGAAATGGTCCCTATAGATTTGTATGCATTGTATATATTCACAGCAATGTCTATATGATCCGGGGATACAACATTTTTGCATTTATTTCCAATATAGGGTTCATCTGGATTCCTTTCTCTTTAGACACAATCGTATCTTGTCGGAATAATCACCACAAGGTAAGATACCTGACTTTATATGTTATATTTTTAGATTTTATAGATACAGTATATTATCTGGATTGACATCACTGGCGGAACTACCAGGGTCAGAGCGGTCGCATTTGCAAACGGGCCCTGGTGTTCTGCCAGTTCAGGGGGGGGGCTTTAATTAACAGTTACCGTGTTTCCCCGAAAATAAGACCTACCCCAAAAATAAGACTTAGTACTATTTAGGGGAATTGCTAAAATATAAGACCTACCCCGAAAATAAGACCTAGTTGTGACCATTCCCAGGGCCGGTGGTTGCATAAGGGGGAACTTGAAGAGCTGCGGGAGAGGAGGGAGAGAATCAGCGATTGGTTACCAAAGACCTGTAATATTACAGAAAGGTCCCCTTTAAACTATTACATGCTTGCTACAAAAAAAAAAGAGAAAATCATCATTGACGTGGTGCTATTAGAGGCTGACTGGCCTCGCCCTTATGTGCCCTGCGTGTAAGGATGTCACGTGACACTCTGTGTCTGGTAATAAAGGGTTAATCCTGGAAAGATCCTGGAAAATCAGGTGGAGAGGGTGATGAATTGTCAGCTCACACCTCTCCCTGTGCAGTCCCAACATGTGACACTGTGTGATCAGACTCCTAATTCATCGACCTCAGTAACCTCCCCGTGCTCGCTCCCTGCCCGTGCCCAGAATTATTGCTCCTTTCCATAAAGCAACATCAGCCCCGGCTGCCAACTTCCTGGCAGAACGTAATAATGATGATCTGATGGTCATGAATTGTCCACCTTGCACTGAAATGCCTCCCTGCCAGTGCCAGCTACCTACATGCGGCATGGACCACTGCAAGTTCAACTTCATATTTACAATGTATACAGTGATTTCTAACAAAGCATCGGCGGAATGAACTGCTTCCTCTTCAGTACATCTTCCTATTGAAACAAAACTGAACCATTAGGAAGCTGGCCCAGAGCAATGATGTGCTGCTTGTGCTGGAGCGAGTGCATGAGGACAGGAGGAGGCTGAAAGAGGCTGGAGGAGATCAGCACCACTGAAGTGCCATAATAAATGATTGAGAAAAACAGTTTTCTATGATAAAAGTGGCAATTGCTTTAGCAAATGAAATGTTGTCCAGATGTAAAGTAAATCTACTTTAAACTTCGGGGGAAAATTATGAACCCTTGCAGTGGGCCGACTCCTGCAACTGCTCGTTTTGGTCTACGGAGGAAAATAACAAAATTATACTCACCTGGTCCTCAGAGACCGGTCCCTGGAGCCTCTCTCCCCCTCCACTGCAGCGGTCCCTGAGCCATCACATTCCATACACAGTGTATAAGACACCGAGGGACAAGGGAGACAAGCTGGAGAGAGCCGGCCACCTCTGAGGATTGGTTGAGTATAACTTTGTCATATTCTTCCCTAGACCAAAACGAGCAGTTAACCCTTGCAGTTCGAGGGTATGAACAGCGGCCATTGAAAAACATGGGATTTCTTGTGTTGGGCATTTAAAAGCGCTTTTCCAACTGCTCAAAACCGCCTAGGTGTGAGCCAGGCCTGAGATCTCTATCCCACATACACATACTTGGGCCAATTAACCTACCAGCATGCCTTCAGAGTGTAGGAGTCCCCATAGTCAGTCCACAAAAGCACAGGGAGGACATGCAAATTCTTAACACATAGTGTCCCTGGCTGGGATTTAAACTGAGGACCCCAAAGCTGCAGTGCCAGTGGCGTCACAAGGAGGGTGCGGCCCACACGCGGATGACACCATTGGAGGGGTAACACCAAAATGACAGAGTCATTTTGGTGTCATCCCCCTCTGAAAAGTCGGGCGCTTGGTTATGGACCGAACGCCCGACAGTATCAGGAGAGAGAGAAGGGGACCCAGCGGCATACCTTATCCCGCCGGGTGACTGTCCCCTCCTCTCTCTGCCGGCGTCCATCACAAGAGTGCCGCGCGTGGTGACATCAAGCACATGCGCAGTGGCGAGTTGGCGGGGTGACACTCGGTAAGCGCTCCGGGTGTCACCCAGCCTCGGGACGCCCCTGTGCAGTGCTAACCACTAAACCACTGCTGCCCAATCTTTTGGATGTCCGCACACGGGAGGTTCTTACATGTACATACCATGCCGAAATTACATTCAAAGCACATATAGGGGGCTATTCACTCAGCTGCCGAAGGCAGCCGAGTGAATACCCCAGCCGGAGTGAAGTGAGCTGAACACTATTCGACTATTCACTTCTGGCTTGTACAGCTGATTTCAGCCGTACATCGGCTACCTTCGGCTGCACTTCAGCAGAGCATGTTCGGCTGAGCCGAAGTGCAGAAGGATCGGCTGAGCCGAAGCTCCGGCAGCTCACTCGCTGCCGTTCGCCCCTATTCACAGAGGGGCCAAATGACAGTGAGTGAATAGCCGAATGCTGCCGAGCGGCATTCTGCTCGGTACCTCCGTGGTACTGAGCAGAATAGAAAATAGTGAAAATAGTAGGATTAAAAGAAAAAAAGGTTAAGAAAATATTTTAAAAATGTTAATAAATAGTGAAATTAAAATATCAATAAAGATATTTTAAAAAAGAAAAAAAATAGACAAAAAAACAATTGGGCGGAGCTAGCAGTGACAGCTAACTCCGCCCAACTGTTTCCTATTGGCCGGCACCTGCTAGAGTCTTCTAGCAGGTCCCGCCCATTGAATAACAACTGGGCGGAGCTGGCCGTGATGTCACGGCTGGCTCTGCCCAGTTGTTATTGTTCTATGACAGATCAGCATTCCCAGGTCATTGGGGACACTGATCTGTCATTACAACTGAGCGTAGACAGCCGCGAGATCACTGCTGGCTCCGCTTAGCTGTCATTTACAAAGCTTACGTCCGGCCTTCGCCGGGCTGTTTGCCTCGCCTTGGCTGTCATTTTGGCTCAGTCGAGCCGAAGCATATGCCTTTGGCTTGGCTGAGCTGCTCGGCCACCTTCGGCTACTGTACGGGCTATAGTGAATAGCCCGCAGAGCAGCCCTTCGGTCTGACTGAACCGAAGGGCAGAGTCATGCCGAAGAAAGCCAAAGGATCAGCCGAAGCCACGGCTGGATCCTTCGGCTCCTTCGTGAATAACCCTATAATCTTTTGGGAAGATTTTTTTTTAAATGGATGGTCTGGCAACAGGGTCTCTTTAAAGTAGTATTAAACGCTTAAAAGTTTTTTCCAATAATGAATCCAGATCAAATAAATATACATTACCCTTAAAATATTTCTTTACATTTTTGCACAAGCACTTACGGTCATCATGTTTCCAAACAGCTCCAACTCCCTCAGCTCAGCATCCCTGAACTTCATGCCCAGTACAAGATCACAAGGGACAGAGCAGTCTCCAGCAACTGTCCATCTACTAGCTTGGAGAAGGGAGGAGCAGGGAGGAGAGGAGTGGATTGCCTTGATGTGTGTGTGCGTGTGTGTGTGTGGAGATACAGCTTATTCGCACACACAAGGATGGCTCTATAGGACCCTGCAAGGGAAAGGAGTCACCCTAAAACAGTATATCAGAGCCGGTGCTCAAGGGACTTTTAAATATTAAGCAGCAGCATCCATTGTAAGGGATTTTATCAGCATTTGAAATGGCTTAAAAACCTTTTGACTTTAATAGTATTGTTCTGAGTACTGATCACATTTGTTGTTAGCACCAAAATCTGCACCAAGAACTAACATACGGGGGCAATGTGTACATATGGAGGCGAATCGAAAAATTGTCTGAAAAAGATGAGCAAATCTTTGCCGATCGAATGGCTCGTGTCTAATTTACCAGACGCGTCTTTTTGGTGCGTCATTGTCTTCCAAGGCTGCCCTAGCTTACACACGGTCTCGGCAGCAAAGTGTCACTGGAAACTATGCAAAGATGATGCCAATCAAGGCACGTCCCCAGGACGCAGTCTGGTCCGTGACACTCTGCAACGCTCTGCAGCATCCTGCCTCCATGGAGCTGACATGCCCACTTCACCAGTCTGGGCTCCATGCCAGTGTCTCCTACACACACACACAGGCGCACACGTCTCTTGACACTCCGAGTCTCATCTCCTCCTCATCCCTCCCCTTCGCAGCCTCGCACTCCCTCTGTCTGCTCATTTGCAATGCGAGGCTCACTTATCACACAGGCTCTCAGGCTGGGGATGTGTGCCTGTGCTGCAGAACACCCAGCCTGCCGTATGCTGCAAGGAGGAGGCTGTATCTGATGCTGCCCCCTGCCCTTTTTCTGCCTGCACAGCTCAAGGAGGGTACAACCCCTGGCTCAGTGTCTGGATGGAGACCCAGCAAGGGCCTGATGCTTCAGGTGAGTGACATGTCCTGTGCCGACGCACCTAGGGCAGGCCCCTTCTCCCACTTTATTTTTTCTTTTTACAAACTCCCCGTATCGGCATAGCTAGTAGTAGTTAGTCACATTCAACTGGGCTTTTGCTGCCGGTAGCCTGGCGAAGGTCTGGGAAGTCTATGAGAAAGGGATGGGAGATCTGCACACTTTGCAGACCGGCGAGTACCGCATTGATCAGAGGATGCTCCATCGAGGGGCACCACAATCACTTTGGACCACCCACAGGCTCTGTGGGCAAAGTATGAATTATTCCGTGTCTGATACATTCTAGAACCTCCATGGCATACCTGATGAGAAGAAAAAGATACAATGTATAAATGTTCCCTTTTACAGTTTATTACATTTATTGATTTTCTTTATATTACTTCATTTTTATTGATTATTATTATTTATTTTAAATGATTTTATTTTATTTTTTTTAAATGTATTTCTTGAGTGCCGCTAAACTCAACTGCACTTGAAGTACACAAACCATTCCAATAAATTCCTTCCCCTGTGACAGAGCTTCCCACTGCAGTCAAACAAAGACTAGTTTTTGGGTGGAAGCTCATTGAACTACCAGCAGGTTCTGGATTGGTGGGGGAACACTGGACACAACCCATTCAGACACAGGGAGGACATACAAACTCCATGATGATGTCCTCACGTGTCGTGACTACCCTGGAAAAACTGTTGCAAGAGCATTTGGACATGCAGCAGTTTACTCAACAGCTAAAATATAAAAGAAAATGGGAGCTCAGACCTCCGGCCAGTGCCTGCAAAGTGCAGACATTTACAATGGCCAGGATCATAGTGAATGATTATTACATGAAAGAAGAACCCCAGGAAATCTAAAAATTAACACTTGCAGTGGGGCTACCCCCACACTGCAAGGGTTAACTGCTCATTTTGGTCTAGAGGTGCCAAAATAAAGAAAATATACTCAACCTGATCCTGCGGCAGTGACCGCTCACCTCTTTCCCCCCTGCTCTGGCCGTGGGATGTCCCTTGGCGTCCTCACGTCTAATGCAAGTCAATGGAGCTGCATTAGATGTGATGACGTCAAGGTTCCCTACACCGCCGGAGCCCAGGGGAGAAGAGGCTGCAGGGACCGGTCTAGCAGCCTAGCGGGACTGAGGATCAAGTGAGTATATCTGCTTTATTTTAGCCCCCCTAGACCAAAATGAGCAGTTAACCCTTGCAGTGCGGGGGTAGCCCCACTGCAAGGGTTAATTTTTAGATTTCCTAGAGTTCTTTTTTTAATGGACATTTTAGCTATTGATTAAACTGCTGCATGCCCAAATGCTGTTGCAACAGTTTCTCCAGGGGAGTCCCAACACGTGAGGACACCGTCATGGAGTTTGTATGTCCTCCCTATGTTTGCATGGGTTGTATCTGAAGTAATAATCATTCACTAGGAGTCTGGCCATTTTAAATATCTGCACTTCGCAGAGGCCAGAGGTTGGAGATCCAATTTCTAGCCGTATTTCCTTTTTATTCATGGATGCAAATGCAGTTATTAAATTAAAATATTGCCTGTTGAATTTGCACTGCTTATCAATCAGCAACAACAACATGAATTGCATCAAAATAAAGTAATCTTCTTTAATATAATCATTCACTATGAGCCTGGCCCTTTAAATGTCTGCACTTTGCAAGCACAGGCCAGAGGTCTGAACTCCCATTATAATGCATCTTTCCTTTTTATTCATGGATGCTAATTTAATTAAATGAAAAACGTTCCTGTTGAATTTGCACTGCTTATTAATCAGCAACGACAACATGAACTGCATCAAAATAAAATATTCTTCTTTAATGAGACAATCATTCACTAGGAGTCGGGCTGTTTAAAATGTCTGCACTTTGCAGGTACGGGCCAGAGGTCTGAGCTCCAATTCCTAGCCGTCTTTCCTTTTTATTCATGGATGCAAATTTATTTAAATTAAAACGTTCCTGTTGAATTTGCACTGCTTATTAATCAGCAACGACAACATGAACTGCATCAAAATAAAATATTCTTCTTTAATGAGATAATCATTCACCATGAGTCGGGCTGTTTAAAATGTCTCCACTTTGCAGGCACAGGCCAGAGGTCTGAGCCCCCATTTCCAGACGTATTTCCTTTTTATTCATGGATGCTAATTTAATTAAATGGAAAGCATTCCTGTTGAATTTGCACTGCTTATTAATCAGCAACGACAACATGAACGGCATCAAAATAAAATATTCTCCTTTAATGTAATAATCATTCACTATGAGCCTGGCCCTTTAAAATCTGCACTTTGCAGGTACAGGCCAGAGGTCTGATCTCCCATTATAATGCACATTTCCTTTTTATTCATGGATGCAAATTCAATTCAATGAAAAGCGTTCCAGTTTAATTTGCACTGCTTATTAATCAGCAACGACAACATAGATGCATCAAAATAAAATATTCTTTAATGTAATGATCATTTACTTTGAGTCTGGCTGTTTTAAACATCTGCACTTTGCGGGTACAGGCCAGAGGTCTGAGTTCCCATCTCTAGCCGTCTTTCCTTTTTATTCATGGATGCAAATTTATTTATCCTGTTGAATTTGCACTGCTTATTAATCAGCAATCACAACATGAACGGCATCAAAATAAAATATTCTTCTTTAATGTGATAATCATCATTCACTATGACTGCTTATTATTCAGCAACGGCAAGGTCTGAGCTCCCATTTCAATGCAGCTTTCCTTTTTATTCCTAGATGCAAACTAAATTAGTATATACAAACATTCCTGTTGAATCTGCTTATTGTTCAGCAGGAACTGCATCAAAATAAAAGATATTGAGGGGAATTTATCAGAACTGGAGCAGACAGAATCTGGAGCAGTTGCCCAAGGCAACCAATCAGCTTCTCTCTTCAGATTGTTCAGTTAAAGGAGAACTATGGGGTTAAGGCTTTTCCCCATAGTTCTCCTTAGGGTAACGGGAGGACACAAACTAGCGTCCTACCGTCACCCTAGGCTCAGTATACTGAGACGCCGCAGTATACCGCAAGCTGCTGCTCGCGGTATACTGAGACGCTGAAGCGGATCCCGACAATTGTGCCGGGATCCGCCCAGCTGCGTGACTGACAGCTGGCTCTGCCTATCTAGAGGCAGAGCCAGCTGTACCAGCCCCCTCCCCCGTCCGTTCCGCCAGTCAGCGCGAGCGGGGAGGGGGGAATCCAGCCCCTATCACAGCAGAGAGCCGTGACAGGATCGAGAGGTGAGCGAATGCCGGTATGTGTTCGCTCACTTCCCGATCTATAGAGCCGACCTGTGACAGTCTCATTGTAACAGGTCGGCTAGAACTATCAGGCTGAGTGAAAAGCACTCACCTCATAGTTCTCCTTTTAAGATTTGAAAATGAAAGAGAGAAGCTGATTGGTTGCCCTGCCCAGCTGCTCCAGATTTGGCCTGCTTCAGTTTTTATCAATTCCCCCCATTGACATGTGCAGTAAGAATGTAGCAGATTTATTTTAGGGAATACTTTGCATTTTGCAATAAAATCTATTATAACTAAAAACATTTTGGGAGTCGTTACTGTTCCTGGAGTCCATAGTGAAAAGATTCCGGCAAAGATTGGAAGTACATAGCGCCCTCGGTGCAGATTGGATGACTATTTGGCCAGACTCTCGGAGGTCTGTAACTGCACTCCTAGTCTGGGAGGAAGGGAGGAAGCGTGTCTGCTCACATTGATGGTACCAGAAAATAAAATACTTGATCTTGGAATGCCGAGCGTTTCTTTATAACAGCCGCAAAACAGCTGCGTAAGAACGGAATCGGTTTCTAGAATGTCACATTGTGCTGTGATACGGCAACGTGTCACCGCGGCCTGACCGTCATGGAGAGGGTGACAAAGTCCCCAGGCGCTTAAGTTTAAGTTTCCAAAGCTCCATATGCCGCGTCTCTAATCCCTGCAGCAAAAGCCTGTTTTACATCTGCTTAGATGTGAAAGGGTAGGCACACCTAAAACTGATCTCTCAGGGTTTGCTGGATGCTGGTGGGTTGAGTATAACCCCCGGCTTAGGAAACCTCTTTCTTGAGATTCATTACCCCCCAACATCCCACTGCAGCTGCTTTAACAGAAACAAGAGGCCTCTTCCTATGTATATTTAAAGCTGAATTCCTGGAGAGACGAAACATGTGGGAGATGTTTTATCTGCCAAAGGATTTGATTTTGTCCATCCAGTTTGAGTTTTTCTACAAAGCTCTGCTACGCAGTACAGCTCTATCTGCAGGGCAGGAGACCTGATTTTCCTCGGCTGCACTTTAGTCATTCTTACAGGTCTTGTCCCTCCCCCAGCTTGTGATTGGGCACTGAAAAGCGAAGCAGCACGGTGATGAGTTCATCTGTCACTCTGCTCTCTGGTCCTATCAGCATATGAGCACTACAGTACAGCTGGATGGCTCCTTGCGCTGCTTCACCCTCCCTCAGTCTTTGCTATGCTGTCGGAGCTGAAACAAAGACAAATTCCGGTCCTTTCACTGCTTGCATTCAGAAATATTAACAAGTCTTACTTCTTCTGTTTCATTCTTTATAAAGCTGAGCTCCATATTTCACCTATAGCCAGAATAACCGGAATCTTTCTTGATGTTATCCTCCTGTTATCACCAGCACACAGACTCGGAGAGGGAAGGGCAGCACTAGCAGCCAATCTTGACAGGGAAAATTCTGACAGGAGGAGAGAGCAGAGTTGATGTTTTAACAGTGTGTAGCTACTCTGTCATTGTCCAATCAGGAGGCTGTGGTGGTGAGGAGGTGACACCGCTGTATTCCTTAATACTAACAGATGAAGTGGTGTCACCCGGTCTTCCTGATGTGTGTGTATATTATAACTGTGGTGGGACAGATGTACACATCCTTTGGTAGGTGAGCAGTTCTAGCAGGACGCGCCTCCCGGGACCGCGTGATCGTGCACCATTGCCCACAGCGACTGCTGCGCGGCCCCATTGATATCAATGGGGTTAC